GTGTGTGTGTGTGTGTGTGTGTGTGTGTGTGTGTGTGTGTGTGTGTTCAGTCCTCAGTATAAGCCTTGGGTCCTTTCATGGTAGAAGAGGACCTCAGAGCTATGGGGAGGAGCTAGGGTCTCCAGACCCTGCAAATATCAGAGAAACTTGGGCGGAAAGGGGCCAGATTCAAGCCTTTTCCAGGCTGACAAAGAGGTAGTAACAGCCATTGATCAAAACTAGATGGCAGCAGTGGAATTTTTCTGCCTTGCTCCCTGCCCCATGGCCTTCCATGTGATGAGGGGTGGGCCAGGCCTGCAGCAGAGGACATAGCCCTGACAGCAGAAAATAGCCCATGGCAATCCAAAAGGAATTATGCTCCTTGGGAAATAAATGTTTGAGGCCTAGGGCTAGCTGGAAGATTAAGTGTGCCAGCTCACACAGATATTAAATTGTGTCTGGCTTCTCTTCTGTGACCTGGAAAGGCCTCACTGGCAGACGAGCCAGTGACAGGTAAGGACCCACACCTATTAAGTACCTACTCTGCACACATCGCCTTTTTCCACAGGCAGAGCTATAGGCCTAAACACTGCAGGTTGAGGGTCCAGGATAGGGCCTGTTTAGTCACACATCTAGCCAGAGAAATGTCTTCTTCCCAGCCAATTGCCCTCATTCTTGGCAATGGCCAGAGAAAGAATGAAGTGGGGTCTGAGTGGTAAGTGGGTCCAGGGCACCTAAGGGCTGTTGCAGAGGCCAGAGCTCAGCCAGGAGGGAAATCCAACCCAGCCGAGCCAGGGCTAGATATGCTTTAAACATCAGCCAGAGTGACTGCTCAAGCTATGGGTGGGGACAGGGAAGGACAGAGAGGATGCTGAGCCTCCGCCCAGGGACTGGAGAGGTACCAATCCCCGCCCTCCTACCAGACAGTAGGTCCAAATCTCACAAACCTACCTCAGCCAGACTTCCCTCAGCCTCCAAGGGTCCCTGCACACTGAAGCCAGCCTAGCTCAGATGAATCACAATATGGACTGTCCCCGGGACTCAGGGACACTGTTTTACTATAGACGTTGTGATGAGACACCATGACCAAAGCAACTTGGGAAGGAAGGGTTTATTTGGCTTTTGCTTCCATATTACTTCATCACTGAAGAGAGTCAGGACAGGACTCAAACAGGGCAGGAACCTGGAGGCAGGAGCTAGTGCAGAGGCCGTGGAGGGGTGCTGCTTACTGGCTGGCTCTTCATGGCTTGCTCAGCCTGCTTTTCTTTTCTTTTTTTTTTTTTTTTTTAGAACCTAGGACTGCCAGCCCAAGGATGGCACTACCCACAATAGCCTGGGCCCTCCAACTAATTAAGAAAAGATCTGGCTTGCCAGACCTTACGGAGGCCCTATTTCAATTGAGGCTCCCTCCTTTCCAATGACTCTAACTTGTGTCAAGTTGACATAAAAACCAGCTGGCACAGACACACATCCACCTGAGCAGCACAGAGAGAACCCAGAGATGAGCATGGGCATTGAAGAAGGATAGATGGGGGACAGCAGGCTGGACACTGACAGCAGGCCTAACTGTCGAGTGGAGATGGGGCTGAGGAGGCCAGCAGGAAAGGTAAGCTGGGCCTCTCACTGCCACCACTCAGCTCTGACCCAGCTCCACTTTGTAGTTTTAGATTTTTTAAAATCTTTTTTTGTCACAGGAAACCAGTTTTCTGGGAGGTGTTCAATGGCCAGGAGAAGGTCAAGGTTTGTGGAACTGGTTTGCTCAGCTCACACCACCGCTGCAGGCCCATTGCCCTCTGCCTGCTGTTCTGGTGCCCAACTCTCTCTCTCTCTCTCTTTCTCTCTCTGGATGTGCTGACAGAGCAGTTCTCAAGGTTCACAGTAAGCACTCAGGTTGGTGTGGGGCATGTCAGTGATGGGGGTGGAGATTCAAACCCCAGAACCAGGTCTTCCAGAAAATACGGGCACTTTACAATGATCCTTTTCCACCACATTCTGATATATACTGCTGGGATCTGTCTGTGTCTCCCAGGAGAGGTCTCCTCCTCCTCCTCTTCCTTCTTCTCCTTAGTTTAATCTCCCACAACAATCTCCTTCTCCTCCTCCTCTTCCTCTTCCTTTTCTTCCTTCTCTTTCTCCTCCTTCTTTTCCTCCTCTTCCTCCTCCTTTTCCTCCTCCTCCTCTTCAGGATAAATTCTCATTTTGCATCCTAGGCTATCCTTGAACATTTGACCCTCTTTGCCTCCCCTTCTGAGTGCTTGGATTACAGGTGTGCACCATCACACTCAACTTGTGCTTTTTTATGTAGCTTTGGTAAGCAAGTAGAGAAGCACAGACTTCAGTCTCCAGACTGAAGTCATAGGAGCCCTAGTAACTCAGGACTTGTCCCCTCTAGTAGTAAAAAGGACCCATGTGGTCCCAAATCCTTCAGCACCACCCATGCCCTTTCTCTCTTGTTTCCATCCTCCATTTCCCTTCCACCTTTTTGTGTCCTTGGACAATTTGCTCCTTATATGAAGGAAAGGGAGAACCTGGCTTCTGGGATCACAGTAAAATAAAATCCCTCAGAGTTTGTGTCTCGTATGGGGGAGGGGCAGCAATCATATATATTCCTGTTGAAGGAGAGGGACCGTCAATATAGACCACCATGTGTCCATGAAAGTGGAGACCCCAAAGCCCCCCCAAAAGAGTTTAGTGGGCACAAGGCAGGCACCCCAGTTCTATGACAGCAATTTCCCTTCTTGTAAGTCATGTTTGCTTTTCTCTGGGCCACTCAGTCTAGTCCTAGGAAGTGTCTGCCCCCCCACACACCCCCAGCAGCAGCAGGTGGCAAGGGCAAGCAGCCTCGACCTACCTCCTCACCCTCCTCAATGTGATAGTCCTTCCTGGTATTGGGGCCTCCGACGAACATGATTTTGAGCTGCTCCTGATGCCTGCAGTGGAAAGACAAGAACAGGATCTGAATCAGCTCCTGGGAACAAGGGGGAGTGGAAATCAGGGAGCTGTGGGGGTAGGAAGAGGTCTGGTACATGCATCTGGGAGAAGATCAGGCCTTCCTCATGCCCATGTTGTTCCTCATGCAATCACATGTCTCTGTGTGTGATTGTGTGTCTGCATTCCTCATTTATTTACATGTCTCTGTGTGTAATTGTCTGCGTGTCTTCAGACCAACAAAGAAGCAGCATGGTGGAGCATCACTCCCTATGGTCACAGGGCCGTTGCTTCAGATTTCAAAGACAGCAGAACAAAGAGGAGCCCTCAACCTGTCTGCTTGTGAGATTCTCCAGCACTGTGGGCTATACTCAGGAAACTATGACATCCAGCAGGGAAGGAGACCTGTGTCTGACAGGTTCAGAAACACAGGCAAGCCTCCTAAGAGCTACTCAGCTTTATGGCAATCTTGGGTATCTTAGTTGACTTTCCTGGGGTTTACTCTCCTCATCTGGAGTGGCAGCTTTAATTCATTTCATAACTGTTTTTTTTTTTTAATGTATTTGTGTGCTAAGTAGTTTTATGTCACTTGAGAAAAGAAAACCTCAATTGAGAAAAGCCAGATCGGCCTATGACTGATGATTTTCTTGATTGATATGGGATGAGTAGTGCCATCCCTGGGCTGGTAGTCCTGGGATCTATGAGAAAGCATGCTGAGCAAGCCATGGAGAGCAAGCCAACAAGCAGTACCCTATCTATGGTTCCTGCCTCCAGGTTCCTGCCCTGGCTTCTCTCAGTGATGGTCTTATAGGCTGTAAGTGTGGAGGTCAGAAGATAACTTTTGAGTGTCAATTTAGGTCTTCAGGCTTTGATCCAGTGCCCTTCCCATGGACCCATTCCTTCAGCTATTATTTTCTTGCCTTTTATTAACAGACTTAACTGAGATACTTAGAGCACATACAGAAAGTTCTCAAACAAGTCCACTTGCGAACTATATCTCCTCCCACCACAGCCTCCAGTCAGAATGCACAAGCCAGACCATTTTCCTGTGTTCAGAGTCCTTCGGCAGCTTCTCAACATTCTGAGGGTGCTACAGTCTGAATCCCTACACTGCTCCAAATTTCGATATTGGTGTCCTAACCCCAGGACCTCAGAAGGTGGACTTATTTGGAAACAGGGCTGTTGCTACCCTTCATCTTCATGTAGTGTGTGAGAGCAGGGTGTGAACCTCACTCAGAGCCTGCCACTCTGACAGGGCCTTGTACCGTGGTAATATAGTAGGGGCCAAGTGTGATGGGACACAGGAGAGAGAAACAGGAGTCCTGACCAGGAGGGAGGGACAGTTCCAGCTGCCTTCTGATTTTTTGAGTGCAATGTAGGTGAGGTTTTATGAGCTGGGGTTTAGACATGAAGGCTCACAACAGGAGAGGGTCTGTGAAGATGAAAGTGAATACTGGGTTTATGCATTTGAAACCGAGGAACACCACAGATACTAGCAAAGCACCAAAGAAGCTAGCTAGGACCATGCATGGCCCAGGCTCAGCAAGAAAACTCGGACCTCCTGCTGATGGAGGGTCACCCCCACAGGTGTGTTCTTATTGATTGGCATCCCCTCTCAACACAATTTCAGTTCTACAGGGAAGGCATTTTGTCAGTCTGCCATATCCCCAATGTCCAGAGCACCGCGGTGCTCAGCAGATATCTGCTGACTGAATAAAGGGGGAGCCTGTGGTCGTGATGATTGACATTAGGATCCTAGAGGGATGGCTGGAGGCAGGTTGGTCACCACTGACCAGGCTGATGTGGATGGAAACAGAGAAGTGGCCGCGGGACTGAAAGGAGGAAGATTAGTGTGAATGAGAGACTACAGACAGGGATAAAGGAGGTGAAAGGGGCAAAAATGATAGAGTTCCAAACTGGTGGAGACAGCAGTGATAGAAGAAAGACGGTTCCAAGGGCCCGTGACGGTTAGCTATGGGGGTATTGTGCAGGGACCAAGCGTGTGTGTGTGTGTGTGTGTGTGTGTGTGTGTGTGTGTGTGTGGACTTTGTAGTCAAACTGTTCCTGGGCTTGCATGTGGACTCTGCCCCTCACTAGCTCTGTGATTGGGAAGGTTACTTATTAAATCCCACCCCATGAGGGCTCCTGCGAGAATTCAGTGAGATGATGTGAAGGCACTTGGTCTAATCTTCCTGTCAGGGGGTAAGCCGCTGTGGCTGTCTGGGTGAAACACCACCCATTGGAAATGACTTTTAGACACACATATGTGGGGATGCTGGGTCTGGGGTGGTGGTACAAGAGGCTCAGCTGTGGAATCGAGGGAGGGGAGAGGGGTGATGGAGGGAAGTCTGAGATGGCACGGCATGAACAGCTCAGTCCGTGCTGCAGATAGAGGAGGCCTGGTGTTTGTGGGTATGGCCTGGAGCCTTGAATTAAGAATCCCCGTGGCTAGGGATGCAGCTCAGTTTGGAAAAGTGGTTGCCCAGCATTCATGAAGCCCTGATTTCCACACCAGCACCTCCGAAACAGGGTGTGGTGGTACAGCTGTATTTCTTACACTTGGGAGATAGAAGCAAGAAGAAGACTGGAAGTTCAAGCCCACCCTTAGCTACATAGTGAGTTAAGGCCAGCCTGAGCTATGGAAACACACACACACTCACCAGCCAAAGAAGCTGATCCTCTGACGCCACGGCTTCAGGGTTTGCCAGGGTCGAGGTGTGTGGTTTGACTATCTCCAGGCCCTAAGTTCTAGTCTGGGGCGTTGAAAGTCATGCTTTTCCCAAGGTGCATGGGATCCGCTTTGGGTTGGAACATTGCTTTCAGTCATGGAAGGAGTGTCACACCCTGCCGCCTCATCTCTCACAGCCTCAGAGACACTCAAGCCAGTGTCGGAAATCAGGGCCACAATCTCCACTGTCCTCTCCAGAAAGAGGAACAGACTGGCGTAGTGAAACCTGAAGCAGCCAGTCCTCTCGCGCCCCCAAAGCACCAAGAGGATGGCAGACCCTCTTCTGCACGCTTCTGGGTGTGGGGAACTCAGGGCTGGGGGAGGAGGGGACGGTTCAGGAAGAGGGGGGAGGGGAAGAGGACTAAGAAAAGGGCTGGCTGGTAGTCACGGGGTTCTGGGGACTCACATAAGCTTGTTGCAAACCGGGGGCTGGAAAGAGGCCCGATTCTCTTCTACCCAAGACTTGACTCTCACGCGGCGCTCCATGACGGGAAGGCAGGACTCTTCTGCCCACAACGTGTCGATAGCCAATCTGCCAGCTGGAGAGGTGCTGTCTGCTGAGCCTCCTGTGGGCCACCTCATTACTTAGCGTCCTGGAGGTCAAAGAACCGGGCAACTCCCCCGCCCCCAGCCGCCACCCTGCGGTGTGGCTCTTGTGTCTGAGCCCGCCTGCCCTGCCTCCGTGCACCGAAGAGGCGGGCTCTCCCCATCAGGGGTTAAAGCCTCAGAACAGACCCGCTTCGTGGGACAGTGAGCACACAGGAGCCTTCTCAGGAGCACTGACATCAAGCCTGCACTGCCCTGCCTGAGTCGCGGCCGCAGGTACAAGGCCCGGTCCAGCTGAGGCAACCCCAACACGGAGCAGAAAAGAGGTGCCCAGCACTGCTCTGAGTGAGCTCTTTGCCCCTCCACTGGGACTTGAACCAGGGCCAGAATTTCACCATACTTGCATGCCTTGTTTGGATTTTTATCTGGTTTTGGTTTTGGTTTTTGAAACAAGAAATCACTTTGTAATCCAGGATGTTGAGCAACATGCTTTGTAGCTCAGGTTAGCGTCAAACTCTCCTCTCCTCCCTCGGAGCTTGAATTCCACGATGGGCGCCGCCACAAACCCACAATCCCCACCCTTGCGTGTTTTAAGCCACACGTGTGAAGAATGCTCCAGGTGAAGATGGTCCAGGGGGTCCTAGCCTGCCAGACTAGAGGCTCCTCAGCCACGGTGTTCTGGGCCAGGAAACCTAGTATGAGAATGAGGAAACAGTGGGTGGGATGGACAATGACCACCTGCCCTCCGGGACTCAGAATTCTTGGGAAAATTGAAAGGGAGTGAACTGTAGAAATGAGCGGTGAGGGAGAAGAAGGTGTCTCAGGCCTCTGACCCCAGGATACAGACTACAGAATAGAAGGCTTTCTAGTGTCTCCCTCCGGGGCTTTCATGCCCCCTGCCCTGGTCTGCAGCCTGGCATAGCAGCGTCTCTACTTCTCAGACTCCAGTGGGGTAAGCCAAAACTTTGACAGATACTACACCCTCCTGACAGGGAGTCTCTTGTTACCTGTCCACCACCCTTCGCCCCTTCTACGCCTCTCTCCATCTGATTCTTTTTTGAGCACATTTAAGCTAAACATTTATTGATGCATTTCCTCCTAGAACATTGTTTGGTGCCTAAATAACTCAAACTACCTTCAATATGTTTCCCATCTACAAAAACCAAGCCCCGGCCACACGGGGATCTATGATGTGTTAGGTCTGCTTTGGGTGCTGTTAAACAGAAGGAGGGGTGAAGTCACACTGGGGGGTGGGGAGGGGGGCAGCTACTTTCAAACCAGCAGATGTTCTGGTACATACTACAGAGGACAGAATGGTATTCACCCTGTATTTTAATGGATGCGATACAATGAGGTGAGGCTAGAAGTAGAACTTGGAGATACGAATCGGAAGCTAAGATGCCATTGTCTCATCATCATCAGAGATGCCCTCTACTGTGTAGGTAAAACACCATTCTAGGGTATCACGGGCAGGCCTCCTTTTATCTGGATGGCTTCAGTGTCAAAACCTCACCAGTTCCCCTCCCAGTCCAATAAGGACTGATTGGTTTTCTGGCACCGATCAGTCCTTATTGATCGGGGCCTTCTGGACCCTGATCCTTGGTCTATTTTACTCTCTACATCTTACCTATTTGTACTTGCTGCTTTGCCTGTTGCTGGGACAAAAAGGATTTATTTTGGCTCCCGGTTTGAGGGAGCTCTGAAGGGGAGACACTTCCTCTCGTGGTGGGGAAGTCGTGCTGTCAAGAGCGTGAGGCAGCCAGTTGCGTGGGATTAACAATCAGGAGGCCGAGTGAGGCGGCGCTGGTGCTCAGCTCCTGTTCTCCTTTCACTCAGCCTGAAACCTCAGCTCACAGACTCCTGCCACCCACATGAGTGTGGGCCTTCCCAGCTCAATTAACTAGAAACTCCCTCACAGACATGCCTGGAAGCTTGTTTCCATGGTGATTGTAAATCCCATCAAGTTAATAATCAAGATCAAACATCGGGCTGCCCCAGGTGCCACCTTTTCCCTGTCTGCAGGAGCTTATTTGTGCCACAGAATCAGAAGTAAATAGCATCTTCCCAGGACTCCTAGCCCATCAAGGTCTTCCTGCTTGCTGGGTGGGGTCTTGCTCTACCCCCTGGATTGCGTGGCACACACAGACCTCTAGATGCCTCCAGGTTTGGCTGAACATGTCTGTTGATAGATTGAGCTACTGTGTCAGCAGCTCAGACCTCATTGGTCCGTCTGTCTCCCTTTCTTTATGTATATCCCCTTTAATAGACTCAGCAAGTATTTAAGAACAAATAGCTTTCTGTGAATAAAAGGAATACCCCATGAACTGTGCTAGTGAGTAGGGGGGAAACGCAAGCCAAACCCAGAGTCTGGTATTGTATTCTCACAACACAGCTCAGGTCTGTAGTCCTAACTGTGCAGGGTATTTCTCAAGTAGCACACAAGCAATCAGACTACAACAATGCCTGCTGGACATCAGTGCTGATTCTATTTGCGTGCAAAGAGCATCAACCCCACAGGAGCCGGACTCAATACACTCAGACTTGTCCAACTTCAGGACAGATGCAAAAAAGGTAACCAGGGTGTGGTGACACATGCCTGTAATCCCAGCACTCAAGAGGCAGAGGCAGGCGGATCTCTGTGAGTTCGAGGCCAGCCTGGTCTACAGAGTGAGTCCAGGACAGCCAAGGCTACACAGAGAAACCCTGTTTGACCGTCCCCACCACCGAAAAAAAAAAAAAAAAGGTAACCAGTTACAAATTGGAATTTATTTTTCTTTCTTTTTAGGTACATTGCTTTTTTTTTTTTTTTTTTAATTTTTTCTTATTTATTCTTCTCTCCTACAATACATCCCAACTGCAGTTTCCTCTCCCTCCCCTCCTTGCAGCCCCCGCCCCCAGCCACTGTTCCTCTGTTTCCCTTCAGAACAGAGCAGCCCTCCCAGGGATATCAACCAGGCACAGCATAACAAGATGCAATAAAACTAGGCACAAACCCTCATATCAAAGCTGGACAAGGCAATCCAGTAGAAGGAAAAGTGTCCTAAGCACAGGCAAAATAGTCAGAGACACCTGCAACTTTCACTGTTAGGAGTCACAAAAAAACCCCAAGCTAGGACATAAAATAAATAAATCTTAAAAAAAAAACAACAAAAAACCCCAAGCTAACAACCATAACGTATATGCAGGGGATCTAGTGCAGACCCATGCAGGCTCCATGACCGCTGCTTCAGTCTCTGTGAGCCCCTATGGGCCCTGCTTAGTTGTTCCTGTGGGCCATGTTCTCCTGGTGTCCTTGGTCCCTCTGGCTCCTATAATCAACACACTGGGTTTCCAAAGCTGGTTCCAGAGATTTGTAACTGCTGAGCCTATCATCCGGCACACTGCTGCCCCCCTGTGCAGAAATCTGGGCTAGCATCCTTGAGGACTAGGGGATGAGTGTGAGGAGGTAGCCTAATGCCAGCGGTATTAACTCTGCTGAGATGCCCCAGTGGAGATGGCTGACCCGCCTAGCAGAATGCAGGTCAAATCACTGACCCGATGCATCAGGAGCAACTGAAATGGCTACTACTGCAGGTCACTGAATTGAGGGTGGCTTGTTACACTTCAGTTAACGGAGACTACAGGTTTTCATAGCCATTCAAGTGTCATTTTGTTTTAAATATACTGTAACAGGCCCAAGCCCTTAACACAACAGACGACATGTGACAGGCACCATTCTGACCTTAGACCCAGCACGTAGGCCCCAGCAAACTGCCAAGACAAGAACAAAGAATTAATCCATCAAAGACCTACTCTGTAGTTCAAGGATTGGGGAAGTCCCTAAATGTATTAAGCTTGCCTTTTGGCTTCTGTATTGTCACTTTTTACTCACTGTTCTTGGTAACTGAAGCGTGCCTACCAGGATGTGGTGTTTGTGTATAAAAGGTGAAGAATGGAGGGGCTCAGGGCTGCATGATCTGGGCAAGTTCCCCACTCATCCACTGGCTGGCGGTACACCAGTGTTCGTGTGTGCTCTGGTGGAATTATCTAGCAACAATTCCTCTCATGAATGGCACATGGCTGGAGTTTAAACAAATCTGGTCCGACAAGCCATACCTTTCATATTTAATTATTGATGTAATTGTGTTGAGGAAAGGAAGAATTTCTTAGGCCTATCATAGCAAATGGAGTTTATTTGAACAGGGAAAATAGAACAATACAGAAATGAAGCAGTTGCAAGAACAGAGCAGGTTCTGAGAAGGGCAACCAGCATTGAAATCTGAAGGTTTCTGCGGGGCAGGGTAACTTACACACACACAAAATTAATAGTTAGCTGCTCCGTCCATTTTAAGGCTTCCTGAAGCCAATGATCCCTAGATCCTGCTTTTGAATTCTACCTGTATTGGCTTGGTGTATTGAGACAAAGGTTGGGCTACACTCAAAATCAATGGCTTTCTGCAGATATCACTGGCAGCGCTTACGCTGACAACTTGTTTTGGGTTATCCAATGACTATACCACAATGGTTTTCTATTAATGGGGTGACACAAAAGCAGTGGTTTAAAATAATGCTAGTAAGCCAGGCCTGCTGGCAATGGCCTATAGCAGGAGCTCCTGGAGGCCGAAGAAGGATAGAGAACTCAAAGCTGTTTGTGCTATAGAGGAAGTCCAAGGCTGGCCTGAACAACTCAGGGAAACTATGTCTCAAGAATAAAACAGTGTTAAGCAGAGGGTGTCTGAGTGAGGGTTCTCTAGAGTAGTGATAGAACTTACAGAATGAATCTCTCTCTCTCTCTCTCTCTCTCTCTACACACACATACACACACACACACACGGGATTTATTGAAATGGCTTACAGGCTTCTGTCCAGCTAATCCAATAATGCCTGGCTGTGAAAAAAAGGTCCAAGAATCCAGTAGTTGCTCATCTGTGAGGCTGGATGTCTTAGCTGGTCTTCAGTATATTCTGGAATCCTGAAGAAGTAGGCTCTAATGCCAGTGAAGAAATGGATGTGCTAGAAAGGGAAGGGCAAACAAACAAGGAGCAAAAGCTTTTCTTAACCTGTGGGTCTCAACCCCTTTGAGGGTCAAATTACCCTTTCACGGGGATAAAGTATCAGATATCCTGAATATCAGATATTTACATTGCAATTCTTAACAGAAGCAAAATTAGTAATGAAGTAACAATGATTTTATGGTTGGGGGTCACCACAACATAACGACCTGTATTAAAGAATCAGCAGCATCAGGAAGGTTGAGAACCACTCTTCTACATCCTTATATGGACTCCCAGCAGAAAGGGTGGCCCAGATTAAAGGTATGTCTTCCCACCTCAAGAGCTGGATTGAAGGCATTCGTCTTCCT